TTTTTGGTGGTTCCAGGGATCAAACTCAGGACCTTGTGCTTGCCAAGCAAGCACTTATTCCACTCAGCTATCTCCCCAGCCCCAGGCTGAATTCAAACTATGTCCTTGGGCCCTAATTGATATTGGTCATTGCAAGCTACACACTTATGATTTCCATCTAGGGAATGGGGCATGCTGTTAAATCATGACCTTAAACTGTCCCCAGTGTAAACTTCATCACTGAAAATGACTGGCAGGGAAGATAATGAACCAAAGTGAAATATCAGGCATTTAAAGCCAGAGAAAGAAGCACCTCTGTTTTGCTTGATGTGACCCCCCCATACACCATACACAATAGACACACACACACACACACACACACACACACACACACATCCTACTGACTCCCTAAAGAGGAAAAGAAATTAAAACGATCCTCTCTAAAATACTCCCAGGCCCTTGTTAATCTAGTTAATCGATCACTGTTTGAGGCCAACACCATACCCGGGAGGACAGGTGGCAGCTCTCTGCTTAAGCTGCGTAGCTGAGGTTCTCGAAGGAGGGAGCCGTGCTTGGGGAGAAGTTTTGAGCCCACTGGGCGTCCTCCCTGGCCACTGTCAATGCCACCTTCCCCTGGCTCCAGATTCTCCTACGGCTGTGTCGGGGCTGTGTCCGCGGGCGAGCCGCACTGAGGGACTCTTGCAGCCTGGTGCTAACTTGTTTTCGATCACTCAAGTGTCTGCTCCTATCCAGCCTGGTCATAGGTTATTCTTTCTAATTTTTAAAGTGTTTTTTTGTCTAGTTCTTCCCTGTGTGGCTGCACTTAACTGGTGATTATTCCTTCAAGAAGAGAACTTCATAAAAATATTGCAGGGAATTCTTTGGTGCTTTCAATAACAAATATATGTGGAGTGAATTGCCATACCTGGGAACTGAGGAATGTGAAGTGTTTGCCTTTGATATATATATATATATCAAAGGCAAAGCCCCTCCTGGGGCTCTACTTTTCTACGAGCTCCCCAGGCTAAGAACCTTTTGCAGCTTCTGCTTGAGTCCAGACTTTGTACTGAATCAATTCTTCTACTGTCTCAATGAGTTTCTGCTGAGACATTGTAAATCTGGAAGTGGTCCGCTCACATTACGTATTCCTCCTGCCTGGCTATTCCTATCTCAATAGCATAATACCGTGATCTAAAGAATTCGCTTCCTATTCATAGACTGCGGGCAGCTCCCGGAGGAGGGGACACATGCATGGCACAGAATTCCCTGGCTCCCTAAAAAGATGGTCCGTCTAAAGGAGATTCCCCTTCCTCTGACACTGACCACTTTTCTCTTACACCATGCTCGTAACTTGTGATTACGGTTCAGGCGTCCCACCTCATGAAGAGCAGGTACTACTTTTCCTAAACACATTTTAGAATTTCCAAATATCAACCATATGGGAAACTTGGATTTACTTCTTTATCTGCTACAATTCAAGAGTGGTTTTCTCTTTAATAGACTGTTTTATACTTGTCTTAAAGTCCCTCACCCACCCAGGTAAGGGGTTGGCTCCTTCAGAAGCCTTAGGATTTACCCTCCCTTCCTCGCCGTAACTTCTGAGTGAACTGAAAGCTGAGAATTGATGTGTGTGTGTGTGTGAGTGTGTGTGTGTGTGTGTGTGTGTGTGTGTGTGTAAGTTTCGTGAGTGCCACACTGAGAACAATTTCATTTGTCCCTACCTACGTTTCTTTGAGTAGAGTTTAACTGCAATAACAGAAATAATACATGTTGTAACTAACATATAT